AATTACCATCGTTAATTAGGGAAAAATCATTAATGTTGGATCTTCAGTTCTCCAGATTGAAATTCATAAAAAACAATAAGAACAAAACGATCCACAGAATTTCACAGGGATTTAGCCCAAGATCGCAGAATTGCGTTTATGTCATCTTTTGTTCTATTTGTCATGTTCAATATGTTGGGGAAACAAGGAATTCATTGTCCACACGTATGGTCCAACACAGGTATAATATCAGAAACAAGAAAGAAACTGATAAACTTTTGGTTCAACACTTTTTACAACATGGTTTATTGTCAATGAGGATGGCTGGACTGCAGAGGAACATTAATTGGTCAGATTGTGAGAGAAAAAAGAGGGAAAGACAATGGATTTTTCTATTGGGGACAAAGAAACCATTTGGGTTAAATGATAAATATAATTAATGTTAGATCACTTACCTTGAAACTTTTACCCTAACCCTAACCCACCCATTCTCCTAACCCTAACCCTAACCTCATACCTACCCATTCTCCTGACCCTAACCCTAACCTCATACCCTATTCCTAACCTTAACCTCATACCCACCTGCAGTCCTAAACCTAACCCTAATTAATCACTTACCCATCTTTTTTCTAACCCTAACCATAAATGTAACCGTTATTTTTTCTAATTCTAACCCTAACCGTAATTTTTGTACGAACTTTTGATAACCCTAACCGGATACATAATTTCTAACCTCTAACCCCAAATTTAATTTCATACTTATTTTCGTTGGTTTAAAAATAATTTTATGATGTAGGGTACATTTAAAAATTACTTTATGATGTATGGTGTCTATAAAAATAATTTTTGTGATGTACAGGGTAGTTAAAAATCATTTTTGTGATGTGTGGTGTATTTAAGAATCATTTTTGTGATGTATGGTGCATTTAAAAATCATTTAAGGATGTATGATGTATCTAAAAATAATTTTATGATGTATGGTACATTTAAAAATCATTTCATGATGTATAATTGCATTTAAAAATATTTTATGATGTATAAGTACATTTTGTAATAATTTTAATTTTTTTGGGGATATTTCTAAGTTAAATTCATGTAAGTATAAGTGTATATAGTTAACAAAATGTGTTCCGAAGTGATTAGATGTATGCCACGAACTTTTCGAAGGCCAGAGTTTTTTTAAAAATAGGAGGCGGAGTTTTGTGTAGGTATATAAGGGAGGAGCGAAGGAGAGAGCTCATTTCTCCTTCGATCCTCGAACAGGCAACAGCTCCGGCCTACCTGCAGAGAGAAGAGAGAGTGTTATTTGTGTGCTTTAGCCTGAAGAAGACCTACCTAGAGGTCGAAACGTTGTTTTTGCACACCTTCTTTTGTTCATTGTTTTTTGTTTTATAAAAATAAATATATTTTGTTGAAGTTTAAAAGAGGCTCTCTTTTCTTTTATTTATCTCACTTCGGATTTTTTTCTTGGATTTTTTTCTTGGATTTTCCTTCCGGATTTTTTGGAAGTGTTTTTTGTTCAACTTCGAAGTCGACCATGGATGGCTGGACAGAGGTCCGTTATGGGAGACGCCGCCAGCGTCCCCGTCAGCCACCCTGGGACCGGGGTTACGGGAGGTCCGAGGGTTGGATGGACCGTGCACCCTCCTTCCCCTTTCGGAGGGAGACAGTTCCCTTCCCTAACCAGCCAGTGCCTCCCCCAAGGGCCACCCGGTACGTTGGTCCCCGTTACCGCTCCTATGCGGATGTTGTTCGCCAGCCAGCCTGGAGGAGGTTTCCTCCACGTGGCGGAGGACAAGATGTGCGACGTGAGCCTGCAAGTCCCCAGCTTGGAAGATTGATCCGCAAAATTTACGCGGTGGTCAAGACTGTCCACCATCTACAGAACGTAGCCAGGAAACCAGGGAGAGCAGAGCCCAAGATGATAGCACGGATGATAGAGATCCTGTCTACCATGATAAAACCGGCAGCCCCGTCCACGACACACACAACACCTTATTGAAGGTAACGCTAAAAATTGGGGATATACTACTTGCGTCATTCTCCAGGAGCACTATGAGAAATGCTTGGAGGAGTTTTTGGAGGAGTTAGCTGGTCTCCTCACCCCTGACTGGAAGGCAGCCTTCCAGGTGGCGGTTCGCTGGGTTCGGAGAAAACTCCCACGGATCTCCCAGGACGTGATAGACCACGCTGAGGCTCTGATAATGACTCGAGTGGATGGGGGGGACCCAGTGCCAATAAGGATCCCACCAGTGGAGGTTCCACCACTGGCAGTCCCTCCAGCGGCTGTCACACCACCGGTGGTCCCACCACCAACGGCCCCACTTCCAGCAGTTCCACCAGCGGCAGTCCAGGTCCAGACTCAGGATCCACAGGGACTGTTGAGACAGACTACGGTGGCCACCATGACTGAGGATCAACAGCCTGTAGACTGGCATTGTCCTCCACCAGCGGCAGGCCCTCCACCAGCAGCAGGCCCTCCACGCGAGCAGAGGGATGGAAGGAGAACCAGAGGGGTGGTTCTCAATTCATTATCTGAGGACAGTATTCTTCAGGTTCTAGAGCAGCAGGAGGAAGAGGAAGTTTTGGAAGCCCCTCATCACACTCCCACACGTTTGGGATTGGAGACTCTCTTTGATGAGCAACATGCAATGGAAGAGGGTCAGAGAAGCAGGACCTCAACGCCGCAGACTTCAACGCCGCAGGCTGCAACGACGGTTGCAGTCCAGGTGCACCAGGAGGAGTCATACATGGATGGAGAGGAGTTTGAAGATTCATTCGACCACTTCACCCAGCCAGGGCCACAGAGATACAGGGTGTACAGACACCCCAACACCCAGAGGAAGTTGACAGACTGGTGTTTGAATGTTAATAGGAAGTGGCTGATTATAGGGGACTCTAATCTGTCGAGTTTACCTGACTACTTTAACAAGGACTTGCAGATTGAGAGCTTTCCGGGGAGCCACTTTCGACATGCTCAAGCTCTGATGGAAAAGACTGTGCCACAGCAGGATTTGGTGGTAGAAAAGATCATTCTGTCCTTTGGAATAAACAGCAGGGGCAACAAATCGAAAGAGACCACCATTAAGAATATGCAGGGGGCACTGAGGTCCACGAAACGCCAGTTCCCCTACGCAGATATTTGGATTCCCCTAGTCAACTTTTCTGCAGCTCTTCCTCAGGAGGAACAGGACAATCTCCAAATCCTCAACGAACATTTGGAGAGGAACATGCCTTTCATCCCCCTTCTGCCAGAGAGGATGTTCAAGACGCAAGGGGATGACATTCATTGGACGGCAGAGACCGGGAGTGCCATCTTTGATCATTGGATGAACTTTTTAAACACCAGGACCCCCTGAGCCCAGCACAGGTGGGGGTTGAGGGATCTCGGTCCTTCCAAGGTCAGAATGTAGTGAATTTAGCTAAGAATTTCAGACTTTCTGAACCACAATTTAACCTCCTGAGCAAAGGGTTGTCATTTATTTCTACATCTAACATAGGCAGGGATGAGAAAACTCAATTTCAATGGGATATTCAAAGTTATCATAGGAAAATTCAATTAATTAGTTATTTTCAAAACAAGGGTGGGGGGCAAATTGTACCTTTTGTCAGTTCTTCTAATTGGATGCCACCACCAGATAAATTACCACTGGAAGTTAATAATTTGATTGCCAAAGATTTGAGGACTTTTAGGACACATTATAAACCAACTACAGAAAACTCTAACATTTCACCACAAGAAATTAGGGCATTACGGGAACTTCAAAATACTAAACATATAGTTATTAAACCGGCCGATAAAGGTTCAGCTGTGGTAATACTAAGTAGGGATCAATATGTATTGGAAGTAGAGCGTCAATTAAATGATGTTAATTATTATAAAAAATTAGATAAACCAATTTACTTAGACACGATTGAGATAGTGACCCAGATTATGGATACATTAAAAAAGAAAAAGTTTATTAATGCCAAACAAAGGAAATATCTAATTGGGGAGTTTGAACCTCGGGAAAGGCGTTTTTATATATTGCCTAAGATACATAAAGATCCTGAAAAGTGGACGGTCCCCTTTGAAGTTCCCCCCGGGAGACCAATTGTTTCGGATTGTGGGAGCGAGACTTATTTTACGGCCGAATATTTAGATTTTTATTTAAACCCATTGTCTACTAAACATCCTGCCTATGTTAGGGATACGTATCATTTTATCGAAATTGTAAATAGTTTAAGGATCCCATCTGAATTTTATTTCTTTTCTATGGATGTTAAGAATTTATACACTAACATTCCTATTGAAGCTGGCATTAAGTGTGTGAAGAACATGTTTGATAAGTACCCAGACCCAAAACGACCAGATGAAGAGCTCTTGAGGCTATTAGACATTAATTTAACCAGAAATGATTTCATGTTTAATGGGAAATATTATTTACAAATTAAGGGGACTGCAATGGGGAAGAAGTTCGCCCCAGCTTATGCCAACATTTTTATGGCTAACTGGGAGAGAGAAGTTTTTTCAAAGTGTGATAAAAAGCCAGCACATTATTTTCGTTATTTGGACGATATTTGGGGAATTT